GGAATATTTGTGATGCTAACTAACATTAGTCATGTTAGCACCTTAACTTCAACAAGCGCACAGTTCTCATTTCACTGCAAAGACGCTTCATTCTTCATATATCCGTGTTGGACAGAGTCTAAATGCCGAAGCTGAAAGACCTTTGCACAAGCACACACACTTCTTAGCTTCGCTGTGCAACTATGTGCACAAACAGGAGTGTAAAAAAGGCAGGCAACAAGCCTGTCTGTCTAACCAATCAGAGACCTCCTTACATCGCACTGTGTGGCTAATTTGCGTTGCTCCGGGATTTCTGAAATGAGATCCAGTCTTTAAGTGATAACGTGATGAATCCTGCTTCCGGGCCCAAACTACTCTGTGTTTAATGAGCCTTTTATGTTTTTTTACATGTTTTAATGCTTTGTATCTTGTTCTATTTAATCTCAACAAGTTCCTAAAAACAGTCAGTGATCACTGTCGGCCTCTCTCTGGTTTTATTACCGCTAATCATTTTAAAGCTCAGTTTTTAAAACCTTATGACGTAACTACAGCCCAGCCCATGCAGCACTATATTAATAACTAACCTCGTACTGTGGATGGATTATCTCAGTTGTTCTCCCGATTGAAGTTTGGCCCATTTACAGCATCCTGCCCGAACCTTCGGGAACCCTCACGTTAACTTTTATTGAGTGGAAAATAGTTATTGTTCATTCTCCAGCTTCACTGTTTATATTATGCTAACATAGCTGTGTTGCTAGCAATCACGTAGCGACACAGCTATGTTAGCCAAACTTCAGTAACCCTACCTATGTCACAGCCGTTTAGTTTTCTGTCTGCATTTATGTTGGAAGTGATAGTAGAGCTGTACGTCTTAATTTGTTTCAGAAATCTCTCTGTCAGAACACGGTATATCATTACGTGGAAACTAGCGAGCTAACTTCCTGCTAACTTCTAACTCCGTTAAATTTCATAAATTCGGTTTTCATGGATGCCTGGATGTTAAACTCAATTGTTACACCTGGTAAAGCAGCAACGCTGATCACTTTGTTACAGATGAAAGAATTTAAACTGTTTTTAACTCTCAGTGATGCCGTAGTGATCATGTGACTTGGGGACCTGCAGTTGAGTTTGGGCCCAGGCACGGCTAATGGCGTCAGACTTAAAGACCGGATAGCTAATCCAATAGTTATTAGTTAAAAAGTTAATTCACAGATTTGCTAATATAATAGCAAGTCTGTGAGCTAACAGGAAAGGGAAAAGCATTTTCAAATGAGGAGTGGAATCACTATTTTTAATGTGATAAATAAATCTTTGATTTTTGAATCCATTTACTTATTTACCTTTTAAATTGTATTTTTCTTTGTTTGTTTTGAAAATCAGTGTTTTTAATTAGGAATTATAAACTGATTTTTGAAATGAGGTTTTTATTGAGAGTTTCATTGTTTTATTTTTAGAAATCCATTTTTAATATTGATTGATTGGTAATTTATTTCAAACATGCAAACAATATACAGGTACATTTAAAAAAGAAAAAGAAAAAAAAATACAAATATACAAAAATCAAAAAAACGTTCTGATTAATTTACATGTTGAAAGGGAGTGGGAAGAAGTAAACACTTATTTAATCCCACCCCTTTGCCATAAATTATCAGTTAATATTTAGTCAGCTTCCTTACTGATATAATTTGTAATAAAAATAGTGAACAGATTTCTGATATACTATATATATCACATCATGAATTTTTTATTTTTTAAATAGAGACATTCACTTAATTTCAATATTTTCCTTTTCTTTATAGTTGGAGAAGATCATATTTTTATAACTCTTTTTGAACAGTTTTATGTTTGGACGTTGCTTTAATTCCATATTCAGACTGTTCCAGTTTCACTCCATGAACAGAAACACAAAAGCCTTTTCTTGTAGTACGTACCTTCCCTGTTTTGAAGTTACAAAAAACCCTTAAATTATAACTTCCTTCTTTCAAAAAAAACATACTCTGAATATTACCTGGCAGTTCTTTATTTTTTGCTTTGAATAGAATTTTTGCTGTCTGGAATTTTACTAGATCGACTGCAAAAATAGTGAGTTTGTATGTTCCTGTAACCTGCAATGTGGATGATTTGAATTGCTTTTTTTTTTGAAGAGTAAAAAGTGAATGTAATGTGGATTTATAGTTATTGCCCCAGACCTCTGCACAATACTTGAAGTATGGTGAAACCAGTGAACAGTATAGAATATGAAGTGATGTTCTGTCAAATATCAAGTATTTATTAATGGATTAATAATTCATTTTGACATATTGATTTATGAATAGTGTTTTTATTTTTAATTAAATTGCTAAGTAATAAATTACTAATGTTTCAGTACATAAAATAATTAATAATGAATTTACAAATACATATCTTATTGCATAATTCATTATTCAAGCACAGAATCTCGATATGTGTGACTCTTGTGGTCCTCCATGCTCCCTGTGTTACTCCGGGTACACCAGCTTCCTCCCACAGCCAAAAGACATGCACTTAACTGGTGAATCCAAATATCCCCTAAGTGTGAGTCCAAATGGTTGTCTGTCTCTGGGTGGGGGCCCTGCGACAGACTGGCGACCTGTCCAGGGTGTACCCCGCCTCTTGCTGTATGGTAGCTGGGGTAGGCTGGCTCCAGCCCCCTGCGATCCTGATAAGGATAGGCTCTGGATAAGAGCCTCTCAAAGTTATTTATTAATTTTGTTTTTGTTTTTTTTAAAAACAAAATCACAAAGGTGTTCTTTTGTGATTTTGCTTCCATCCATTTTTGTAAAATTGTGTCATTAGAGGACATAGCATACATTTTCACTGCTATGCAGGTAATACTTTGCTTTATCTGTTCATAAAGCCATATACCACACCAGTTAGTTAAAACGCGGAAAATTCCTTAAAGACATAAATGAACAGTTTTATTGGGGTATGGGCTATCATGATAATGATCAAAATCAAAGCGTACTCTGAACACTCTGTTTCCTGACTTTTGTAGCTGATGAAAAAAATATTTTAAAAAAATACACCAGGATGCTTCACCTCAGTCTGTGTAAATGGTTTGTGAATTTTGTTGAGATGCTAGACTTAGATCTTGATGCCTAAAGGTCAAACTGGCTCAGAATTGCATAGGGGTATTTGCATCCTTTTATAATTGCTTATATCTGTACTTGTTATTCTTCACTGTGCATAAGTAATGGTATATATAAAAGTGATTTTAACTCTGCCCTTATGGATATAACTGAATTAAGTTTTACTTTAAATGATGAAAAAGGCTCTCTGCAGAAACACACAAGCATGTTTTTAACTTGATTTCTGCTAAGAAAACAGTAGAATGTGTGTATATATTATGTTTGTGCACTTTGCAATTTAGGATGTGCTCTTTTTTTTTGGAATTAATCCGTTAGAATTTTTAATTATGTTTTCTTTTTTTTTACTGAGACTTTTGAAATATCCAAACCTCCCTTGTATTTCAGAGTACTATCCCTGGAGTTGGCTTCTTAAAGATCCATGCTCCTTGGAATGTTTTGTGTCGAGAGGCTGAATTCATGAAACTCAAAATGCCAACAAAGAAGGTACTCCACCAATTATTTCCCATTTCTAAAATATGAACTCAGTGTTGCTGCTGTGCTTTGACTTCAGAAGTGTTCAGATGCTGTCCTGTAGCACAATCCTTTGCACAAAATACAAAATATCAGCTGACTCAGTCCAAAAATATCCACTGTAAAACAAATAATTGGAATAATTATCATACAGTCCCCTATTTGTATTAGTTTGTGCTTTTCTTAAAGTGTTTTGAAAGTATCTCCAATAATGTAGTCCAGTTTATGATTGCTGTAGTACCTAAGTAAATTATTTTTAAATGTATTGACCATCAGCCTGTTTTTAATAAACTGACAGCAAAATGTATGTGAAAGAACACAGCAACAGAAAGAACTACAGCTCTCTACACCTCAACCTTTCAAGGCTCTTGAAGTGAATGGCTGGTAAACACAAAATGAAAAAGTATATATTACATTTTAGCTCTTGGAATGAAATCATTATTCAATCAAATTGCTACTTTTGGGTAGTTTTTGGATTGTTTGGTTTTGGGTTTTTTTTTTTAAATTTATTTTATTTTATTTTATTTTCTTATTTGGATCTCCTCTGCAGGTTTATGAAGTGAAACAAGGCAGCAGTGTGGTGGAGAAGATCAGGATGTTCATTCACAAAGTTACAGCTCCTCTCCACCCTAAAGTCGATACCAGCCGAGCACAGTGTCAGAAACCCCTCTCTCACCCCTTCTCCAGAGAAAAACAGCACCTGTAAGTAAAATATCTGGTTATAGTTATGAAGACAATTGAAAAATAATTTATCTCAAACTTAGGCTTTTACACATGTTCTTAGGCATACACTATAGAACCCGTGTGTGTTGTCTCTGAGTTGTCCAGTTTGTTGACAACCACAAATTTGTAGCTTGTTACTAATTTCCAATTTCAACTCCAAAAGTTGATTCTGTTCATCTGGGCGTTTTCAGTGGGAGAAACATTTCGTCACTCATCCAGGTGACTTCTTCAGTACAGTACTTCTTATAAACAGTACAGTAAATGTCCTGTTTATAAGATTGGGGAAACCTGCAGTCAGCTGAGACTGAAGAAGTCACTTTTTACTTTTAACTGCATTTTCACAAGTTTTACAAAAACTCACCCCGTGTTATTCACAATACAGCAAAGTAATTGATAATTTCTCTAATTTTACACATTTAATTCTTATGGTTTAAGACCAAAGCGTCATGCTTTGACGCTTTGGTCTTAAACTATTTTAAGAGCTGCTTTTCTTTCATTGGCAGCATTTCTTTATCTTTGTGGGACAAACACACAATTATCCCATACATGATGTATTTGCCCAAAAACAAGGTTAACAAATCATCACTTAATTTAATTGACGTAAAAGGAACTGTCCAATTAATTATTAATTACGTTTATTAACTTGAAAAATGAATGTGTGTTTGACATATACCTTGACATTCAAAGGGCTGTGCATAAAAATATCTAAAAAGAGAATCAAATATGCTGGAGCCTACTTCCATAAAGTTAAACAGAAATTGCTTGCATCTTTAATTACATACCAACTGATGATATCCAGGTAAGTAAATCTCCAAAGGTTTATTCTGTTCATCTGGACGTAGCATTTTCAGTGGGAGAAACGTTTCGTCACTCATCCAGGACTGCCTAGAGTTTGGACGTCAGTATGAGCAAACGTAAGATGGCGGATAACAGGAACCACCTGAGATTCAGCCTCAGATGCCGACAAAACAGGATTACTCCTAAAAGTCTGCAAATGAGCTCTTCAGTTAAAGGCTTCCGGGCAACAAAAATCCTCCAGAAGGCACAGCATCAGCTGCTTAATGAACGGGTGAGGCAAACAAATTTTACCATCGACATGCTAAAATCTCAAGAAGAGCGGATGCGACAGAGACTGACAATGCTTCTAGATGAGAATACTCTTAAAAAGGTGTTTGACTACACTGAGAAGGCTCGTCTAGCACAGCACACGAAGTCTCAGACCAGGCAACAAAGGAAGTTTGACTTACTTGTTGTACGTCGGAAACCACGGCAAAATACGGAGAGTGTCCTCAACGTCCAGAAGAGAGGAGGATATGATACCGAGGATGTGGACAACTGGGTGAAGAATTTGTCTGACAGACAGATCACCCAAACAGAGAAAAACGGGCTGAATTTTGCTGTCACGCCGAGACAAATCCCGCTAGTGGAGCTGATCACAGCCACAGAAAACAGCAATTTGAAACAACAATATTGCAGAAGTGGAAGCAGAGCAACTACGGACGAAAGTTTTAGCCTGTCTCAGCAATGCAAAGCCCCCAGCGTCCAACATCACCATGGAGGAGAGGAAGGCACTCACATCACTTAGTAATGACAACAACATCATCAACCTTCCGGCAGACAACTGTCACTGCTCAATCATGAAAATACTTATGAGCCCCTGAAACGAGACCCAGGTAGTGGTTATAGGAAGAGGGTGATAGACTGTCTGAAGCAGTTAGAACAAGACAATGTTGTTGACCGGACCTCATACCACAGGCTGTACCCAGGGGGGTCTACACCAAGTCTGTATGGTTTACCAAAGATACATAAACAGGATGCACCTTTAAGACCGATTGTCTGTATGATTAACTCGGTCAAGCCCAAGACAAGGTCTAGAGTGCGGCCCTTGCGTGTTGGCCCAGACACAAATTGTGTGAAGTTTAAGGAATCAAGTACATTCAAGAAATCTTTGACCAGGGGTTTATCCTCACAACACAGATGAATATTAAAGTCCCCCACTATAAGAATCCTTTCATAGTGAGCAATAAAACATGTCAAGAAGTCTGAAAATTACGAAGTAAACAAGTCATTATATTTAGGTGGACGATAGATGACTATAATTAGAACCACAGGACAGCCTAAAGTCAGGAGTTGGGACTCAAATGAGGTAAAAACACCAGGACTTTGTATCTGTTTGCATTTAAAACAGTCTTTGATGATAGAGGCTACCCCGCCTCCCCTCCCACACAACCTGGGGGAGCTGAAGAAGCTGGCATCGGTGGGACAGAGTTCCAGCAAGGGTGCCAGTTCACCAACGCGCAGCCATGTCTCAGTTAGGAGCATGACATCCAGCTTATGAGTACCAAAGAAGTCCCGAAGAACATGAGTTCTATTTGATACGGATCTTGCGTTTAAGAGAGCTAATTTAACTCTCTGTCCATCCGTGGCAGCAGGCAGTATTTGTAGATTGTTCATATTTGCTCCACCTCTCCTCGTATCCCGTCGGCATGGCGACCAATGAAGCAGCCTCAGGTGAGCGTGCTCCGATGACGTCGGGTAAATAGGAAGAAGGCAGCGCTGTTTGAGGCCAAAATAAAGTCCTAAACAGCCACGGTCACCGATGGTAAGGACCCGCCGCATCAGAGTTCTGACCCGAACACGCTTCCCAGAGCGTGTGCTGCGCATTCGTCCACTTCTCCAGCACTTCCGTTTCAAAGGATTCCAGGGGGGATCACGGCGATGCAGTTCCCCCGGTCCCGATGCCAGAGGCGGTGGGAGTCCTCCACATCGCTCGCTAACGCTGGAGAGCTTCAGTAGTGAGTCACGGATGTTAAGCAGCGTCTGTCGCTCATATACCAACAGGGAGTGAGTTTTTAAAGCTAGCAGGGACACCACTAAGAACATAAAACGTAAACATTGCAGAACCGAGAGACGGCGTGCCATGACATCCGGCGCCATTTTCAATCTATTATTTAAAACAAAATTAAAATGAAGACAACAAAGTAGTTGACCCTATGTGAAATTTGCAAGTAAGCTTGCTTACTGGTTTGAGTTTCCAAAAATTCAGTGACGATATATTCAACAGGGATTCAAACCTTACCCAGGGCACCACCCTAGAGCCAATTCATTTGAAAGCATGTAGGCCTTAACCCATAGGGCCTGGCTGGGCTCAGCTTATATAGGTAAAGACCTACAGATCCTGTATTTTGTGGATTGGTGTACAGTTGAAGGTCTTGGTGATCTAATATACAGCTCCTTTAGGCATATGGAGTGCCACCTCTCTGGTGTGGAAGGAGCCTGAGCTTATGGTTGAGAAACCTCAACCTCATTTCACAGCCTTTTTGCTGAGGAGGCAGCACAGACCTTTCATTATTTGGTAGCTGCTTCTTGTTGTAACACCAGTACATGATCTACATGGTGGACACCAGAGATGAAAAATGCTGTCAGGTGAAAGCAGTCCTGTTGAGCTTTGTTGGCTTTTGGGATCCTGGATACACCTGTTAGGTACCAACTGAAACAAAACCTTGGTGATTTCTGAAAGGCTTTTGTTTGGTTTAAAGTAATTCGGGCAGACCATCAGAAAATTTTGGAAAGGGAAAATTTTCCCTACCCACTGTTTACTGGATTGCTATTGACTTCAACTTAGGATGCATTCAGGCAGTAGCAGCAATTTGAGTTTTCCTAAACAGTACTGACATGTCTGCTGTAGAGAAGGTAGTCTGGAAACACAGGGTCAGCTGAGATCAGCTGAGATGGTTAAAAACATGCTTTAAATGTTGGGGGTTATCCTAGTTATTGTCTGAATTGCTGTGGTGGTCCACCTATTAAAAAAGGGGGAACAAATAGTGTGCTTTAACTATATCACAATTCTCAGATTCCCTGAGGAGCTCTATTTGAGGATACTAGAGAAGAACGTCTCCCCGTTAGTCAAATCTTGAATTCAGAAGTTAAAATGTAGTTTTTGTCCCAGTAGTGGGACACTCACGGCTATTCAAGGATACATGGAAGGTTGTCCAGCCAGGCTTCATCTGTTTTTTGCACTTCAAGAATGTATTCAAATGCATCCTTTGAGATGTACACTACAGGGAGCTTTGGTAATATGGGGTTCTGGGCTTAATGGTTTTGGCTATTTGGACCCTGTGCAACCATTGTGGAAACTTGGTTTTGTACTGCTGGCAAAGAGTAAGACTTCGCTGAGTGTACTCGACTCCAGTCTTTGTCACCAGTTTTAGTCATAATTTATGGATCAAATTTCTAGGCACAGCTAAGAGGTTGAGGATGTTGGATTCAATTTTCTCTGCATCTAATCCTAGCTTTTTCCAGTTGGTGTGATTCTGTCAGCTTTATGAAGCATTTAGGTTACTCTGGGGTTTCTGCAGCCAAAAGTAGAGCTACTAAGATGTGGACTGGAACTTCTGAGTCTGAGGCCATGGTTCTCAGTTGGAAAAGGTTGCAGTGCCACCTCCAGGTTGGGAATGAATTTCTGCCCCAAGTGAATACATTCAAGTATCTTCCTGGCTTTCTAGAAAGAGCCTAGAAACCCACTTTATACTCAGTAGCAAATAGCAGTAAGTTAAGAAGCTATAAGGCTGTTTCTGAACAAGTCTTAAATAACAATTTTCAGTGCCTGCTGTACATTGAAACAGAGGCGATACAAAATGAAAATATAGGTTTTAGATTTATCAAGTGACCAAAAACTAATTTAAAAATATGCTAATTGTGTTTGATGTCAGTTGTGTGTTAATTTTAAACACCTTTAAAATGTGGATAATAAAGAAAGGAAGCTCGATGTATCCATTCAAAAACATTAAATAGTTGAATAAATGAGCAATGTTAGCTGACAGAGTGTTCTCCGAGGGAAACAAGAACATTACTATCAGTTTTAGAATTAAAAACCAGAGAGAAGATAACTGCAAATCTGGAATCAGAGAAAAATACATTCACAGGATAGACTTTGATATTTCATATTGTTTTTCTAAACTGAACTGAAGTTGGAACTGGCAACTTTACAACTTTATAACAGGAAAGCTGAAGCTTTCATCATGATCAGGTTCGTATAGTGATCAAATAAAGCTAGTCTACAGCAAACATTTATTTTATCAGCACAATGAAAGACAAATCACAGAGTAAAAGATTTAGAATAACTTGACTAAATATAGGCTGCACAGGCTTTATGTTCTCTCTATAAGTGAATTTGCTTTTAAAGGCAGTAATAAGAGAACACTAATGTCTTACAGTCATCCTGCTGGGATGTATGGAGGAGAGAGTGGGCAGTGAGCAGCTATATTTGGAGCTCTGACTAACAGCTTGCAAGAGATATCCCTCCACATTTTCTCTGTTACTTAATGTTCAGCTCTGAAATCACTCTAACCTAAGCAACTTTCCTAGTTCTAGATTACAAAATGTATCTTACAAAGCATTTCTGGCTTCATTAGAAATGCTTTTGATTCCTACATATCTCCACAGTTGTCTTGAACTAAATGATGTAATTTCCAAAGAAATGTTACGTTTCTTGGTATGAAACAAGAACACCATTCAACCAATAAAACTGCAGCTGTAACATATTAATGCTGGCTGACGGAGCTGATGGAACTTATAAACAAGGGCAAACAAGACTGGACTGATTCAAAATGACCATCAGAATATCACCGAGAGGCTAATAAACATCATAGAACTGGAAAGAAGAACATGAGATGGGTGGGAGTGCCTGATCTGAAAAGAAACAGTTCATAATGAAATAAATAATAATTAATAAATGAAAAAAAGCCAAAAGCTTTATTTAAGTTGAGGGTTATCGAGGTAACATGGGGAATAGCTTTGTGGAATTCCTGTCCGATATTGGAATTATAACGGATTCACTCAGTTCAGACTTTCTGTATGTTTTTCTTTTCCTGCATCTATTATATAGACTACATAGTGAAAAAGAGCACATTTCACAAACATGCCACAAGTGTTTCTTTGCATCTGTAACTCATCTGTGTTGTTTTCTTTTTTCTTTCTTATCAGATTTGATCTCTCTGACAAGAACAAGTTCTTTGACAGCAAGACTCGGAGCTCCATAGTAAGTATTTGTTTTAGTAGATGGATGGTTGAAGAGTTAACCCTGTATATATTGATACATGTCAAAATAAAGAAATAATTGTTTGGCTTATGATTATAAGGTTCTAATTCTGTACAACAAGAGAGTGGCTGGAATTTAACCAAAACACTTCATGAACCGGAGTTCCCTGCTTTGTTTTGTGTTAAATGTTCAGCTCCTCATCCTCAAAGAGACAAACTGCATTATTGCTACAGTTTTCTTTTTTGTTGTTTAACGGTCAGGTCTATGAGGTACTGAAGAGGACAAAATGCATCAAACCCAAATATCCCTTGGGTAAGAAATCTGCCTTTCTGATACTAGGAATGAATCAATGTGCAATTAATCCTAGTCTCTCTTTGATTAGGTCCACAGGCCGAGAGCGGTCTTGACACATATAGAATTCCCCATCATGTCCATTTTAACCATATCAGTACAATAGCTGAAATATTAGATAATGAAGGTCAATAATCCCACAGAGGATTTTTGACTGTGTGAGAAACAGAATTGTACTGAAAAAACGCCTTTATTCTAACACGACAAAACAGCCTAACACAGTGAAACAATTTTTAAAGTCCACTTCTAGGTTTTAACAGCACCTGAAGAAAAATCTTAAATTAAATTAAGAATATAAAATGTAGCTGACGGTCACGTAACTCAGAGGAAGGTCAGATTTGCACAACAAATGATGATAAAATTGTGACCACCAGCACTGTTATTATCAGCAAAAGTGGCAGTGATCTGCACAACTGTACAAAATACAGAAACTCTGTAGGACAGCAGCTTTGCACTAGCTTTTATTTATGAGCGATTTACTGAATATGTCGATGATCAGAGCCGACTGTGACATTATGCTCAAACGCAAATCAAGGGCTTCAGATAACGAACTAATGGTTGATCATGCACTCTTTTCTGCATTTAATTATACAACATGGTGTGTGTG